ATAGCTATAGCAAATAAATAAGACCAAAGCCGTAGAGAACCATTTATGCGATAACTCCACTTATTTAAGTCGCGTCTTATGTAAGTCGCGTCTTATTTTGTTCCGTATAAATGGCCCTAATATGCATGCGAATTGGTAGAAGAATTTTGTATACTTACATACAATACAATCTGCAGATACATATATTTTGTATACTGCATGCCATAGCACTGTATATGGCAATTTATTTCGAGTTTATAAAAAGCGAACATTATAAAAACCTATTTTTATAATAAATATAAGCGCTTTGGTCTTCGAAACTGTTGTTGAAAATATGTCCTGACTTTGGAAAGAATTTTTTGATATATACACAACGCATTGGTTGTGCAGAGATCGAAATTCGGCCAATAAACGTCCTATAAAACGCCTCAGTGACATTACTGGGGTAAAATCTTCGGCAGTTTTTATTTATATAATGTTCCAAATCCTGCAGAGGTATATGCGTGCATGCCTATAACATTTTTCTGCGAGTCGTTGACTCGTCCCATTTGTGATTTGTTTTCGCCTTTGCTTAGGATTAACATGTAACGTCCCTGGCCTTATATATAATTACACCAATGAGTAAAAACCATAGATATCTTATATACACTAGATGGTGCATCTAATTATTCTGCAATTCAAAAATTGAAGCCGTGATTGCATGCAGACTCAGGATATTCCCATGAAATGAGAAGACTCGTATATTTTCTATTTCTTAAACAGGGAACTTAAACATTAAGTTAAACCTATTCCAAATATAGGCCTACTTTTTCAAACTATTCAAATGATGAAAGTTATTGTTCTTAAAGTGCCTATGACACGAAATTTCACCCCAAAGGTTTATGGTTGCATTGTAAAGATCACTTAAAATGACTTAATAATTTCTTTTATAGAATTTTGGTAACTTTCTCCCTTTTCAAGATATTCAACTTTGTTTCATATGCAAATATCACCGGAGTGACATCACATCACATAATGAGTTTTCAGAAAAGTATAGTTTTCTTCACGAATACGTATCTAAAATACTTTAAAATGGCCCTTGTATATGTATTAATTTCATAACTGGTAATTAACCTTCAGTATTTGTTTGTAAACATATTTTATCAAGGTAAAATATTGCGTTTTCAAAATGTCATTATGCGATGTGATGTCACACCGGTGATATTTGCATATGAAACAAAGTTGAATATCTTGCAAAGGAAGCAAAATACCAAATTTCTATAAAAGAAATTATTAAGTCATTTTAAGTGATCTTTACAATGCAATCATAAACATTTGGGGTGAAATTTCGTGTCATAGGCACTTCAAGCGTTTATTAGCGAGTGGGAAACTCCAATATGGCCGCCATCTATTCAAATGGGGGTAACCGCTGGAATATTCTTAGCTTCAATTTTACTAAAAGAGATGCGCTATCTAGTGTATATAAGATATCTATGGTAAAAACTGAAAGGCATAATATGATATTTGTATTTGTGTTGGAATTGGCCCGGAAAACCTGACAAATATATATATACAGGGTGTATAAAAAAAAACTGAACAGAATTGAAATTGCTCTCAATTTCGCAAAACACCTATTTGTATCTGTTTTTTTATATATATAGCTTCTTTGGGTACTTATAATGTAAAATAATGAAAAAAATTTCTCGAACTCAAATTTTGTGAACCAGGGGGGTGTGTCTTTTCCAACAAACTAAAAATGACTCGCGCACAAAATTTAAAAGCTGTAATCATATTTTGAGTTAATAGATTGAAAATTTGTCGGGTTTTTAATTACTGTACAAAATTTCAGACAATTTGGTTTAGTTTAAGCCCTTTAACTATTCATTTTGTTCTAAAAAGTCAGCCTTTCGCATGCTTAATTAATGCCTTTACCTAATTTGCATATTGCTGACATATGCAAATTAGGCAAATGCATTAATTAAGCATGCAAATAGCTGATTTTTCGGAGCTTAAACTAAACCAAATTGTCTGAAATTTTGTACAGTAATTAAAATCCCGACAAATTTTCCATCTGTTAACTCAAAATATGATTGCAGCTTTTAAATTTTGTGCGCGAGCCATTTTTACTTTGTTGGAAAAGACACACCCCCCTGGTTCACAAAATTTGAGTTCGAGAAATTTTTCTCATTATTCTACATTATAAGTACCCAAAGAGGCTATATATATATAAAAAAAACGGATACAAATAGCTGTTTTGCGAAATTGAGAGCAATTCTAAATCTGTTCAGTTTTTTTTTATACACCCTGTATAGACGAACTAGTGTTGATTTCAACTAGAACTGAGTGCAATTATGTCCTTCAAGATACGACGACTCTTTCTTATTTTGTGCGAAGTAAACGTTATTGAAGAACTATTTCAGCCTTTCATTAAAAAGGTAGTGGTGCAGATATTTACTGTATTTTATTTATTACGTTGCAATAGACATGTAAACAACATTAACCTGTTTCGATTTTAGGTTTCGCTTTTACCCATTCATGAATTCGTTCCAGTTCGCCTTTGTTGATGTAGACCTTGAATTTGTTTTCCTGTTTGCTTTTCTTCGCTTTTGGTGGGAAGTTCATCATCCCAGATTAACTTGAAACGAGTTTGCAGACAATATTGTGACGGTTTAAGTTGGTATATTAAGTTGTGAACTGCGACTTTTCTATAGCATTTAATTGTTTTCACTTTACATTATTTAAATTAAACAATGGTTATACTAGGAAATGCACATCGAATTTGCATGATTCGTTGCATAACATAAATAGTTGAATTATTTTAACTTCAGCCAAACAGCAGGTCTATTTCGCTGTTTGTACTCGCATGGTGTTAGGATTATAGAGTTTGTGAAATTATCTTCGTTGAAGCTATGGGAAAGAGGTCGATAAATTGCAGTTTTTTGAAAGAC